ATTTCTTGTTTTTTTTTTCTTTCCGTTTTTTTTTTTTTTTTTTTTTTTTTTTTTTTTTTTTTCTTTTTTGTTTTGGGGGGGGTGGGGGGGGGGGGGGGGTTGAAATAAGGTACGCAAGATACCATGAGAACTCACCGCTGCTGCTTGAACATATCTATCATGAGCGAACCGAAATCGGTCATCCGTATCCCCTTGAACGATGATGCACGAATTAACAGCAGCCTGCAAACCTGCCACAACTTCGGCCTTTGAGAATACTGTGCGATGGTTGATATCTTCTGTTCCGTTGAGTTCATCATCAACAAGACCATATTCGCCGCTCATCAGTTGGCAGATCAGATCAAACGAGAAAGAGTTGCCTAATAGCGCGGCCCAAGCCATAATCCAACGCGATGCCGGCGGTAATTCGTTCAGCCGTCGAGTAATGAAATCATTATCCAAGACGTTATGGCCATGTTCGCCCTTGAATTCCTCAAAAAGTCGATCCAAGTCGTAAAGCCAGCGGCTCTCACGATAGCCGTACCAAATACATCTTTGACGGTAGCATGCATTCAGCATCTCTCTTATGTAAAATGGGTTTCCCGCAGTCCTTGATTGGATAATAAGTGCCAAAGGAGCAACGTCTTCTGGGGGACAACACAATGTGTAACCGACATATCGCCCGACTTCATCTTCGGTCAATGGCTTCAAGACGACTCTGGTGATTTTTGAGCCGTTAGACTTCGGATTCTCTGTGACAATTTTAGTTCAACTACAAAGTAGGCCATACTACTGTCTGGGATATCTTACCTTCTGACGCTACCGGGTGTAATATCTTGTGTACTTTCTCTGGGTCTATTTCATCGGGGCGATACGTTATGATGAGGAGCATTTTCAATCTCGCAGCAATCACTTGGGTGATCAACTCCATTGATTCATCGTCAGCAAATTGAAGGTCATCAAGGCATAAGCACATGAAATGGTGAGCGGCGAATATTCTAAGAATATCTAAGAAAGTATTCATGAAACGAATCGTCTTCGTCGAAGCGCCAGCGCGTACGTAATCATGCGAGGATTGCGACGGCGCATGGGGGCTGCGCGGTAGCGAGCTCGCCGGGGAGCTTCCAGATGATCCTCTTCTTCTTAGGGGATAAAGACTATTGCGTGAACTTGCAGAACTGGGTGCCGAGGACGGTGGCCTCGTAACATTTGGATCTGGGGGGCCAAAGAGGAATTCAGGTAGCCCAAGTATCTGATGAAGGCTTGGCCATAGGGGCCGGACGTAATCCCGTAAACTGGTGTGAAGAGAAGTATCTGTGTTTCTCTCACCCCAAACTTGCCTGAACAACGAGGACACCAATTTTAGAAGCGGTGCAAATGCAGTGCGCCTCGCAGTGTCGAATTTCGCCGTCGCGCAATATCCTCTCCTCCTAGCTTCTACAAGGACCTGTTGTACAAGGAAGCTCTTTCCTAGGCCTCCAGCTCCTTCAATTGTGACTATCTCACAATGACCTCTTCGTCGATACTTGACCGTGCCTATTTGTTTCGAGAGTCTAGTGGAGGCTTCACTGGATGCACTTGTGGTTTGCTTTACAGAAGCAGGTCTGTCACTTGCATTATCTGTTCCGCTCTTGGCTTCAACAGATACTGATGGGTGTCGTTCCCACGTCTTTGACGATTGGTTTCCAGAAATAATTGATCTAGCCGAGTTATTAGACGATATAGTTCCTTCCGAAACGGCGTGTGTATCGGTTCCGTTGACTGATTGTTGAGCTTCATCCAACATATGTTTCGCAGCTGAAGAGTTGGTCTGTGTAAACGAGTTATTCGGGCCATGCCCCACGTCAACAGAGACCTCACCGTCGCTGGATCCATCAATCGTGTCGAGTATGTCACTAGCACGGCCCGAAACATCCGAAAAGTGAGAAGTGTTGTATTTCTTCCCTAAAGCTTGAGATCTCGAAACACGCTCGATAACGTTGACTATTACTGCTTTTTCCTGATCGCGTCCCACCATCGCAGTAGGGAGCATGAAATAGGATGACACGTCCTTAGAAGCAACGGTCCAGTTCTTCAGAGCTTCTTGGTCACCGAGTTCTAGTAATTTCTGAACAGACCGGAGGTCGTATCTGAGACCACTGGCAGAGTTGTAACGATCTGGGATATGCTTAGATGTACATTTCTGGATGATACGCGATATAGCTTCAGGGACGTCAGTCCTAAGATTTGACACCATTGGTATCCGACGGCCTAGCACACACTGCACAATGTCTAGAGGCGTGACACCCGTAAAAGCAGGCTGTTGCGTGAGAAGCATCCAGAACAAGACACCTAACGAATAGATATCCGTTCGTGTATCCGGTTCGGCTGGCATGCGTCCTGTTTGCTCCGGACTGATATAGACGAGCTTGTTTTTGGCCCCAAGTTCTTTCGAAAGCATCGACCATCCCGTGCTTGTAAGCCCATGTTCGAAGGAGCGTACCCCGGAACCAAAGCTGACTAGCTTAACTTGATTGGTGTGCATGTTGTAATGGAAGGCATCACCTCTAATCTCTCCGTGTACCATTCCAAGACGATGATGTAGAAGTTCTAAACATTCGGTAGCGCCGATAGCAAAATCTAAGAAGTACATCAAGCTGATAGGGGGGTCGAGCTTGAAGTCGTCCCGTCTGTATGCCTCCAGCCTATCGTCATATTTCTTAGCATAGTAGAATGCGGGCCCGTGATCTAACGATCGGAAGAGGTAATTGGGACCAAGGTGCTCATAGATAGCAACAATAATGGGGCCACGATCGCTGGGTTGCGGACTGAGGCGGACTAAGTCGATGGGCTTTGCGTTGTGTACTCCATCTGGGTCAGCAGTAGCTATGAGTGTTTTTGCTGTATGAAAAGCTCTCTCCTCGCGTAGGACATGATAGGACACCCGGGCCACAACCGGTTGCCCGTCGAGATTAAGGGTAGCATCGGTGGGTGAAACGACGGAGGTGGTTGATGGCGATGTGCTGTTGATGCGGTCATTACTGCCATCACTTCTAGGGCCAGAAGAAAGCTGAGACTCGAGAGTAAGAGTCCCAGCGCGGCTCGGACTGATTTTAGGAAAGGTAGATGAATTGGAGAGGGTCTGTGCCGACGTGGACGACGTAGTCGAATGAGGGACGAAGCGAGTGCCAAAAAAGTGCCTGAGATAAACAAAGAGTATTAGTATGGGAAGGTTTCGCATTGAGGGAAGGTCTTTCAACTACCAGTTATCATAAGTCGAATGGACAGGTTTGTTAGCTTCGTCCCACGAATAGCCGGCCAGTTGTCTCAGTCGTTCGAAGATACGAGCGGGCGGATCAAGCTGCTCATCCAGCGGGGCGGCGGATCCGTCCATCATGTGTGGAGGTGAGGCATAGGACGCAGGCAAGGACACGAAGCTGGATTACTGGTTGGGGAGGGGACGAGTGTGAAGACGGAAACAAGGTCGACGTCGTAGAGATAGTAAAACCTAGGTCGCGCGTGGTCAGGGTATCGACGATGCCGGTGACACGATGATCCTCATGGTGGCACTTGTCTCGTCGCGGCCGGAGGATGGTTGTCGGTGTCGTGAAGAGCCGGGGGCGTGTCGTAGATCAGAGGAGCGATCAGAGGAAAACAACAACGCCAGGCCGGGCTGGCAGGCGGTTCGACGACGAGAAGTCGAGATGTGGTTGATCGATCCTGCGCTGGTTCTGCTGCTGCTGCTGCTACCCGCCGCCGCCGGTCTTGGTAGCAATACTTAAAGTACGTTTAAGTAAGTGTAGGCAAGGTTGCATGCGAGATAGATTGAGTCTGATAGAGCTAAACCACCCAGGCGCCGAGAAATAAGTGGTGCAAGCCCCAGCCCAATTTTTTTTCTTATACATGCTAAAAAGTCGGGATTTTATTTTGGCTGATACTGCTAGGTAGTGTACATCTGGACCACAACGATTACTCTGTAAGTAAACGCAGATAGCTGTCACAGGTACCGGTATTGTCCTTTCCTTTCCCTTTCTCTCCTCTTCTCTCCTTTCCCGCAGAAAACAAAACAGTTCCGGTGCGCGTGGGACGGCTTCGTGAGTTCAACATGCCACCTTGGTACCACTGACTAGGTAGGTACTTAATTTGAAGAAACCACAAGGCGCAACTTGGCGCTGCAGCACCACCTGCATCTTGCCTTCCCCTCGCTCTGCAAACTTCCAAAATAATCAACACGTATGCTACATGGTACAAGATACTCCTGCGCTTGCTACGTTGCCTAGCCATAGGTTATAAAGGCAGGCACTGCATCTACCTGAACGGTCATGTATACCTGGTAAGTATTCAATAGAGTGAGCAGAGAGGGGCATTGTGTAGGTAGATAGCGAGATAGATATGCTGGTTTGAAAATTGGCATTTCGAGTTCCTTACCACAGATATCGGATTTGTGGTTTGGCCCGTCCGAAAGTGGCGGTTGCCCACCAACAGATTACTGTGTAGATCTGTCCCGAATGCCGTTCTTGGACTTTGGCTTTTGCCAACCCTGGATCTGCCCTGGAGTGCTGCTCTTTCGCTTCCCAAAAACGACTTTTGCGTGGTGGGATTTGCTGCCCAGCTGGGAAGCTGGCTTGTGGCACGAGTCATGAGTGGATGAATGATGTAATGATTCAAGGTCACGACAAGGGGGTAATAACATGATACATGATACATGATACATACCCGAGATAAGTACCTACTCTGTACATACCGTACATGCCCGCTGCAATTATCAGCGGTGTACTGGAACAAGTTTAGGGCGGGGGCAACTGACTCCTTCGAGAAAATCTTGAGAGTGGGGGCAGATGGGGGGCAAGTCTGCTTGATCAAATCAGCTCAGAAACACACAGCCTCCTTCAACGTAGGTAATACTGTAGTATAATTAAATATCTCGCAAGACCTTGCCATGGCAATATTCTTCTAAAATGTCTATCTACCTAAGTACCTATAACGCGCGTCGTCATATTCGCCAAGCTTTTGCCCATTATTCCTTGACAGGGGCTGTGGCGGGGTACTTACCTAATACCCTCGCCAGCCACACATACCTACCTAGGAAGTACTTATGTACTTATTATTTGACAATACCCAGTATAGGCATTACCTATGATACACTCTGGCTTCCAAGTTCTATCGTTGAGGCATGTATTTAGACATTTCACAATACTAGCTGCTCAGAAAGCAACCGAGGCTGTAGAACATGAATACCTAGAATAAGCGCATTTTCATCTCGACGCACAACCTGTGGCTGAATATCGATAAGGCTAGATCTGTGGCCCGATAAGGCCGCATTGTGTGTCACACAGGGCTTCACCTACAAATAGACAATGCTTGGTGTCGTCATGCTGCATCTAGATAAGCTCTGTCACAAGCCAACAAAGAAAAAAATTTATCCGAGATACCATACGGTGACTCTATGTCTACTTTATATTTTGATATCTTGTCTACCCATCTAAGACAGCTGACTATCTAGTGTAGATGTCTCAATGCCTCGTTACGAAACTCCAACCCAGAAAAACCAGACATTTCATCTACGTTCGCTCCGTATCCCGGCTATGTGCCACATTAAACTCCATAATAACTTATTGAGCTCTCACAAATCGCCAATTCAAACCGGCTAAAGCGCTCTACTTCATAAAATGCATCCAAGTTCTCTATATTTACTTCGCCCGGGTGGGAAGCTTAGCTGCTAGAGAGCCCTGAGCGAGACGGCGCTCAGTGTTCTTCCTTGTGTTGACGAAGTCGGGGTAGTTCAGTGTCAGCTCGACGGCACCGGTGGCGATGTTGTCCGCAGCTTCCACACCCAACATAAATGAGTGGTCCTGGTTACCGACCTCATATCTCCAGCTGCCGAAGCGGCCACGGGACCAAATGTCCAGGTCCTGCAGCTTAGGGAGTAGCTGGGTCAGCACACCCTCACGCTCAAGCGAGGGTGTAGGGTATCCGTGGTCGAATTTGCGGTGGTATGTCGAGACAATCTCGTCGTCAGGCTTGATCATCTCGGTGTTGATCAGACCTTGGATACAATCCCTCAGGAGGTTGGCTTCATCTACAGGCTTCAAGCTAGACTGTGAAACCTCCAACATGATGGACCAGTAGGGACCCTCCTTGGCCTCACTGCTGGAAGGCTTGCTGCCGTCGGCAATCTGGATGGTGGGCAGCTTGACGTCGGCCTGCGGCTGGTTGTACGGTGAGTAGTTTGAGAAGATGGTGGCCCGGTAGAATGGGCAGTTATCCTCAGGGAAGTAGAGCTATTTCTGTCAGTTACTGACATTCGTATTGTATTTGGAAGGAGGCTTACCCAGCACTTGTCACCGATACGCTCAGGGCGCGCACCACGGAGACCAACACCGATAACGTGAGTGGAGGAGTAGAAGAGACCCTTGCTGAGGGAGACCAATTCTTGGTTACCCATGGACTCGACCAATTGGTCAACATTCATCGTAGAAACGAGCTTGTTGTAGCCAATTGTTGATCCATCAGCCATTGTGACAATCTTCTTCTCAGCGTCGACTTTTGTGACGGTACCCTTCTTACCAAATCGCTTCTTCTCATCGGGAAGAGTCTTAGCGACGGCGATCCAGATACCTCCAGTACCATCACGGGCAGGGAAACGGAACAGGTTGTTGGGCCCCCAGTTTCCAGCGACTTTGCCAAGAACAGCATTCTTGACCACGTTCTTGGCATCGGGTGCGGCAACACGCTCACCGAGCCATTGGCATTGCATCTTGGCTTGGTATTAACAAAAGGTAGAATAATTGAACCCAGCAGACAGCACGAACCTTTGTGGTGGGAACAGCCCAGACCTTGTAGTTGTAAGGTCTCATGAAAATGTTGGCAAGGCCGTCTCCCATCATTCGCACAATCCACTCATCGAAGTTCTTTGGCTTCGTGTTGGATACGCGGGCCTCCAAAGCGGCATCGATAATGCCCTCAAGGCAGTTGGCCTGGTCTTCCTTAGGCAACATGGAGACGTTGTTCTGGAAAGGGTAGGGGACCCAGAGGCCCTTGTAGCGGACGTAGGAAACACGCTGGTGCTCGTACCAATCATCCTCCTTTGGCAATGCTTCGTTGATGCAGTCATCGAAGTAGGTGTAATGCGAGAAGATGACGTGGCCACTGAATAACAGGTATGTTAGCAATTGGTGCATACGGAGACTGGGCGTGACTCGTTCTCGTCCGAGACCGTAGGGTTGGAGAATCACTCGTTACTCGACCCTCTTGGCGCTATCGTGGTCTAAAGGTGCACTGGCAGAGTCACTCACCCAACATCGTATAACTAGAGCGAGGTCAATTAGCAAGTATCCTAACAGACAGCATCTCAAGATGTGACTTACGAAACCTTCTGGTGTAACATCTGTTGAAGCTAGACCTCCAGCCTTCTCGTCCGAGTCGACAATGAGCCAGGACAGAGAATCCTACACGAGCATTAGCCAGGCTGCACACTGAATTTTCCGTCAGTTTCAAGAGGCGGTGTGCGCGGCATACCAGTTGATTCAATCGCTTCGCGGCTCCCAGACCCGTGGGGCCCATGCCGATGACGAGGACGTCTACTTGCTCCGATGCCATAGTGTCTGAGGTCTGAGGTCCGAGATGTGAAGTCTATGGTCTACTGTCTAAAACCTGCTTCTGTATACAAAGTAGGAGAAGAGTGGAAGAAGGTGAGGAGGTGTCAGAGCATGGAAAGAAAATTAAAGCTCGATGCGGGAGATGGGGAGACGCAGCTCTTTTGGGGGGGCAGGCACTTGGAGCGATTGGGGGGCGCGGAGGGGCACCCTGAGCCTGACCAGACCCTCGCCTGTTCAAAAATCTATGTGGGGATGCAATACCTGGCCCATGTACCCTAGCAGCTGCACTAGGTACCTAAGCACCCCATTCCCTCCAGTCCTGGGCTCGCCTGGGTGTGTCCTGGGTCTCTGGAGGCGACTTGGACGAGTCGAATCACAATTTTAAATCCTCGCTAGGGACGTGGACTATCACTTGGAGTGTCTACACCATGCTCTATCATCGCGGTTAGTTTAATTAACGACGTTATTTTCCCTCATTTTCTCATTATACTGGCATCTGAGATGGCATAGCCTAGGACGGCCAGCTCGATTAGCTTATCTGAATCTGGTGCGCATAGGCCAAGAACAGGGATTTGCTGCACGCTAAGAAGGCACATTCACAGCTAACCAAGTTAACTAATGTACAGGCAAGTTGTTGGGCGGTTGTTGAGGACTTCACACAATCATTTTGTTGTCTATATCTACTTACCTACATAGTACATTTTAAATTTGAACGCTGGATAGCCTGATTGGGAAAACTCTACTTATATAGGTATGTAAGAAAACGGTTACTTTGTATATATAGGTTCGTATGGGTGTACTGGAGTTGTATAAGGAAGAAGATCTACGCTATGTATAGTGGGATGCGAGAGAGGTATTTATCCTATATAAATATAATGTATGGGTTATACGAACCCTATTTTCGCTTATACTAAATACATCCTAGCCCTAATAGGGTATATATTTAGCTTATAATCTTCAATTAATACTAGCAGCAATATAGCAATAATTAGCTATATGTTAATATTCCCCCTAGTTAATTGCTAGTCTTTTTTAACTTTTATACCTATATAGGATTAAATACCTATACCTTTAATATTAACCCCGCTTTAATTAACGTAAATAATAATATAGGAAAGCTATATTTTAATTTATTGCATTAATAGGCTTTAGCGCCTATTTATAATACCGTTTATAAAAGTAAGTAGGATTAACGGGCTTTACTTTTCTTAAACTTCAATTCCAATCTATAATAGTTGCAATTTCCATTTATATATAATTGCTATATAATTTAAAATACTTTAATTAAAGTGCTTAAATACCTATATTTAAACCTATTATATAAATATTAATATAGGTTAGTTCTTCCATTTATTTAAATATATAAATGGTAATAATAAGATCTTATAAAACCTTTCGATTCGATTTTAATAAGGCTACGTAGCCCCTTAACTTATAGTATAATAATATTAAGTAACGTCGTAAGTTAAGCTTACTTAATTAAAGGGTTTAAAGTCCTTAAAGTAAAAATAGTAATAATAAGTATATATAATATTCCCCCCCTCTTTAGTTAATTAATAAATATACTTTAATGGTTAATTATTTAACTATAGGAGGTTATAATTAAGCTTAACCCATTTTTCACTTTTGTTAATTCTTATACCTTTATTTTTATTAATCTTAATAAATTAAAAAATCTTTAATGTTTCTTTATATTTAAAAGCTTTATTAATTTATTTATTAAATTATTCTTTAACTTAATATATTATAATTAAATATAACTTATAATTACTTTTTAATTAATATAATAATATATTATATAAATATACCTCTTTTATTTATTTATTATATTAATTTATAATTAATTAAAAGTACTGCTATTATTTTTTAAAAGAATAATAAACTTAATTAATATATATTATAATTTTATTAAAAAGCTTTTTACTTATATAAGATTATTAATAACTTTATTTATAGCAATATATTTACTTTTTATAAAGTTTTTAACTATTATATTTTATAACTTTATATATTATAATATTAAGTTTCCTTTTATAAATATTATATAGCTTATAAATAATTTACTATTTTTTAAATTTAAAAATAAAGTAATATTTATTATTATAAATAAGCTTAATAAATTATATTTATAATAAGGATAATTTTTTAAAAGGTTACTATAATATATATTTAAGTTTAATATTCCTTTAATATATTTTATTAACCTTTTTATTTCTTCCTAATGTTCCTTTAATAGGTTACTTATAAAATATACTTAAATTAATATAATATAACTAATATCTAGCTTTATTATTTACATTAAAAATTTAAATTTACCTAGTATAAAAGTATATTAAAAGACTTCTTTATAAATAATAAGGTTTCCTTCCTTACTTATAACGCTTTTTTTTTCTTTATAATTTATAAGTATAATGTATTTTTTAATTTTAAATAGCTTAATACTTTTAAATGCTTTAATAATATATTAGTTTTAATTAAAAGTTATATTATTATTTACAGCATTTTTAATAATTTTAACGCTTAAGAACCAATTAATAAAGTTAACTTTACCTATAAGGACCATTTCTTTTAAATCCTCCGTTATTTTCTTTATATAATTTAAATTAAATCTAAATAAAAGGAAGTTATTTATATAAAACGTTACGGTTTTATTAATACTATTATTATAATAAACGGTATTATTTAATATAAAAGCTTTAAAGCCTAGCTTTTTTAACATCTTCCTAACCTTAATCTATTATTTATAACTTAATTACTTAAATCTATATAGGGGTTATAGTAATTTAATAATCTTTTTTATTAATTATTTATATTTTCCTTATTCTTTTATAAAGGTTTAGAAATACTTAAGGAATAAAAGGAATTACTTTATAAATATTCTTTTTCTTAACTTTTTATTAAGGAATATAGCTATAAAATCTATTTATATAATATATTAGCTATACATTATAGCTAATATTATTAAAATTCTTTAAGCTATAGCTTTTATAATGGAAGCATTAATATTATTATAATTAATTCCCTTTTATTATATAAAACTTTATATATAAATTTAAGCTTTAAATTTATTTAATTCTCCAATTAATAGGTATTTTTTATATAATACTTATTTTATATTAATTAAATACCCCTAACTAACTTCTATATAGTTAATAAATTTAAATATACCTTTATTTAAATTAGTATAGATTTTTATAAAGGTAGCTTTAAGCTATTCTTTATAATTAAGGTTTATAATAATCTCCTTTATTATTAATTTATTTAATATAAATAACTTTATATTAAATATAAATATTAAATTTTATAAAAAATTTATATATAATAACTGCTATAATATATATAAGTATTTTATAATTTCTTCTGTTTTACTTTATATAGCGTATATTTTATTAATTTAAAATTATATATATCCGTTATTTTTATTACTATTTTAATTATTATCCTTCCCCTTATAACTTTTAATTAATTAAAATAGGGCTATAATTATGTTAGGATGTTTATCCGGTGCCTTAATTATAAATTGAGCTAATTTTATAGGTTATATAGGTTACGTTAATTTAAGCAGTTTCCTATAATTAAGGGCTACCCCCCTATCCAAAAGATCCTTATCTATAATATTATTATCTTTATTCCTAATATATATCCGGTTTTTATTATACTATTATAATTATTTTTAAATAGCCTTTAAAAAAAATCGAATAACTTTTTAAGGATTTAAAGCTTTTATTAAATCTTTAAAATATTTATAAATATTAATATATAGCGTTTATAGTTTATAGCTATTATTTATTAACTATATAATATAATTCGTTTTACTATTATAACTTAAAAAAACTCCTTTTACTCCTTTAGCTTTAAGTTTTTCTTTAGCTACTTTTATAAATTTATTAATATAAACTATATAAGGGGAGCCTAGCATTTATAAATGTTCAATTTTTAAAGGAAACTCCTTATTAGGGTATAGTTTACTTATAAACTTCTAATAAGGGGTAGTATCTTTTATAATTAATTAACCTATATGGTTTATTATATAAATAACTGTTTTAAGGCCCCAGGATTAAAAATAACTTAGCAAGCGTAATTAAATAAAATATACCCTTGCTTCGCTTTATATAAATTATATAAAGCGTTTAATAAAGCTATTTTAATATTAATTTATTAATAAAGATAAAATTATAAAAATCCTATTTTCTTTACAATGCTTTTTAAAATTACCTATATTAAATTCCTTACTGCTATTTATATATATTATATATACTCTTTTAATAAATATATTTCCTTATTTTGGAATTTAATTCTATAAAGTAAAGTTTACCTTTATAAGATATTTAATTATAATACCTTTTACTACATCTTTTATTTTATACAGTTTAACTATTTTATATTAACTATTGTTATCTATTAACAATATATAATATTTATAGCCTATAGCGGATTTAAAGGTAATTTAACTTAAATCTACCTAGGTTATTTCTCCGGAATAATTTACCTGCTTTATCATATCCTTTAAAGGGAATTTCTACAATTTTACTTAATTATAAGCTATATAAAGAAGATATTTTATCTCTTTAAAGTTTAAATTAATATTTATAACTAACTTAATTATTTAAATAAAGCATTAAATATTAAAATAATATAGGTATTAATGCTAAAAAATAAGTTTATTATATAACTTATAGGTTATTTAAATATGCTCGTTTTTTTTTATATAAAGATTCTTTAAATCTTTTACCATTTTTACTATTCTTAATATATACCTTTATTATATAAATAGTTTCCGAATTATAGGCTTATCTTTATTATATTTCTATAGGAAAAAGCTCTTTTTTAAAACATTTACTTCTATAATCGCTTTACCTTTTTAATTATATAATATATATTTATTTAAATAACCCCCCCTATAATAAAATTATTCTTTTAATATAATGTTTAAAGGGAAATTTAAGATATAAAGCGTATAATTTATAATAAGCTTATAGGGCTTCCTATTTAAACTATAATAATATTGCTTAACTATATTAATTATATTTACTTTTATAAATCTTATGCCTATATTTATAATAGGTTTCTATTTTATAATATTTATTAAAGTCCTTTCTTTAAATTCTTTTTTATTATTAAAAACTTTAATATTAAATCCTATATCGAAAAAGGTTT